TAGAGTCTACATGTCCACCCAACAGTCCAACACAGGAACCAGCCAGAACAAATCCGTAGAAAGTGAAAGCAACATGAAATCAAACGTCCGAACGAGGGCTCATTAGTGGGATCATTCGATAAACAATCCGCAACCAGTGGTAGAAACCTTTCGGAAAATATATTAGGCAATTGTTATTCGGTGTTTATACAACATGCACAGAGAAGCGAAAAATTACTTGTTGGTGGACGGAATATGTGGAGCTCTAGATTACAATCTTTCAATGTCGGCTACAAAAAACTAGGTCGATGCCTGTAGGGATAAACGGCGATATAATGGCGACGACAGAAACCACTACAATAACCATGATGACATCACGATGCACCATGATCAGAGCGCAATCCGACAAGTTACATCTATAAAACGAGCATTTCTTTTCATAATCTCATTGAGATCGCGCGAAAGGATCCACCAGCCGAAGAACGGATGTGCCGGATACAACACTATCTACTTGTCAGATCGGAAAATCATCAGACAGAGAGATCGTCAAACAAGGGCGACATATGATCGCCATATCTATTCATATAGATTGTACGAAGATTTCAGGCTAATTTTCAGTTCCTGAATGACCATTTCGTCCAAAGGGAATCACTCGTTCTTCTCAAGCCTTGTGTCCTTCCCTGCCTGATCGGAAGGGATCCGGCTGTTTCTATAGATTCGCAATCCCGTGGCTGAACTAAGGTTTGGCAAAATTAGTCTTTCCGCGAATTGTTTGAGTGAAGCCATTGTTAATACCGTAATCATGATGACCTAATAATAGTTCTGTAAATTCTCATAGCCTCATAATATGTCGCTAAATAGCGGAATTCAAAAAAAAATGAGAAAAATGAGATCGGCCCTAATGCATCAGCCAGCTCTTCAACATGCCCAACAGCGTATAGGGGAAGAAACTTTCAAGTAACATTTTCGAGTAAAACTGGAACAGTAACAAGTACGAGGTAGCAGAACCACAGTACAGCACCTTAGCCAGCGAAACGAATGCTGTTCTAAGCAGACCATCTACCATCTAGCCTCTCCACCTCACCACTCCAAGGCCGGCTTATTGGTACCGGAGTCGTCTAAGAAGATAATAACACTGGCACGAAGATAAACTGGCTTCACTGCTACTGTACAAGCTAAGTACTAATTCCAGAGTTACAATGATTAGGAACAGCAGCTGGTAGAGTAAATATTCATGGGATTCATGCTGCAGTTTGAAAAATACCCACGGAAACCAACCCAAAAAAGCTGAGCAGACGAACGACACTTGCACCATTCTGAAGCGGTTTCGGTCCCTTTTACCGCTCCAATATTGATTTGGTGGTATGCCCAATAAATTATCACAAGCCTAATGAATACTTCGAGTGAAAATCAAAAAAAAAAAATATGGGGAAGAACGCTGTTCTGTTACGCGAAAAACGAAATCGCCAAAAGGAACTGGGACGAGTGTTCACGAGATGCACCTCGTCTTTCCATCAGTGAAACGGTTTGACTGATAACTTCCTTCCTTCCTACATTGCCATCAAAGCATTCCCTATTATGGATTAAGGTCAAAAGATAAGGTTATAGTCTTGAGAGGTTAATCAAACCCGTCTGAGAGATGCGCCCCTGCATTCGACTCCCTTCAGAATCGTAGTGAAGTGTTGAATGCTTATGTGACCTATGCAATGAACTGCAGTGGCCAGCCAATGTAAAATCAGTACTTTTATTCTCCTGAACGAGCCTGGTGCCAACTGTCCGACCCCGGAGGGATGGTTGGCCTGGGCGTACATCGATTTAGAATACGAAACCGCGACCACGCGTGTGCGATAGTGCCCCACTTGCCACTACAACACCTCCACCCACTCCCGGTCATGAATACCACCTTAGGTACGTTTTTGGCATTTTATTATACTGCAGATAGATTGTTAATATTATTTTTTAAAGAACCAATTTGGTTGTAAAATCTAAGAAACCGAGGCACAGGGAAATATTGCATAGAAATGTTGCTTGCCTACACTTTATACTACAGCTACGTAAAAATCAGCAGCAAATCCTTCCTTTACCTANTGCCCCACTTGCCACTACAACACCTCCACCCACTCCCGGTCATGAATACCACCTTATATGAACGAATTTGATTGTAAAATCTAAGAAACAGAGGCACAGGGAAATATTGCATAGAAACGTTGCTTGCCTACACTTTATACTACAGCTACGTAAAAATCAGCAGCAAATCCTTCCTTTACCTACAACTTCTTGCTACCACTAACCACCAGGGTGAACCAGAACTACACGACCATTCTTTTTCGTTGAGCACCAGACATAATATTATAGAATATTCCTTGAAAACTACTTTAGATTAAGTGAGGCGTGCTACGTCGATTCCTGACTAGTTTCCGGAACAAAAAGCCTTCTCATGCTCACTGAAGTGTGAAGTTACGTTTTCCAAACTATGAGAAATGTAAATTGTACGTTACCTGATGCGCCGTCGTACAGCCGATTCTACCGGAAAAACTTAGCCATGAATGAAAGAAAGAAAAAAAAACAAGTACATACATCCTTCTGGATGGCGAGAGCTCTAAACTGAACTTTCCGGGAAACACTTTTATAAATTTTCAGCTTTTTCTTCCACCAACCCAAAAATTCTTATATATTTTCGGCCGAGAAGGCGTCGTAGGTGAATACTGCTATCGTAGGATCAAACTCACATAAAAAGTAAAGGTGCTTCATTATATTAAAACTTAAAAGGACATCAAGGTACTGGCACTCAAAGAACTGGCAGCATATGCCTTTCCTGACATATACAGCAATGAACCTTTTCAAGGAAGAAAGAGTACGGAGCAGATAACTTCGTGGTAGGAGCAGATCCGAGCTGAAAAACCAAATAAATGATATCAAGCCCGAGGATCGATCCAGCAAACATGGAAGTGGCTTTCCCAGAGCCCAAAAACCGATCTAACAAACTTGGACGTGGAGGTCATCGTACAGTGTGCAAGAGAAACGCTGGTACAGTATTTGATGGAATTCAGAAGAAGCATAGTAGCGTGGTTCTAACGACCAAGTACAGCAAGCAGTAAAGCAGAAGGAACAAGCGCATAAGCGCTAGCAAATGACGCAAGCTCTAGAATACCTTGTTGTCTATAAAGATCGCAAATTCTACATACAAAGACTAATGGTGATGTTGTATGCCATACTCTCCCTAGACGGATCTGATAAGAATTAGTCGAAGTCAGAGGACTGGCACATCACCGTGACACCGTCAAAATTTATTCTTCCCAAGCATTTTTGAAAGGTCTTCCTTCAACTGTCTAACTGAAGAAATTGCGTGGTAATCACAAAAAAAGTAAGAAAGGAAGAAACAAAAACTATTTAAAACACTACGTAAGTTACAATGATGCAGAAGAGCATTTCGACATAAAGATCATGCTCAAATTATGTTTTTAAGCAATATATAATAAATAGAAGTGATTCGGAAAGTTGCAGCCTTAGAGGAACAGTTCCCATTAATCTTGAGGTTCCCTTTTCAAGTCGGAAATAGGAAGTATTGGTTGGATTAGTACGTCGGTGGTGAAGAAAGCTAGAATATTCGCTGATTGCGCGAAAAATAAGGCTTCTTAGAAGTAGTGAAAATAGAGTTTGTACGAGTTTACTAAGACAGAAATGACATGAAGGGGTAGTTGGACGAGATTTCAGTTGTTGCAATCGCGTGAAGAGCTGACTAAATCAAGCCAAAATTGTCCAGAATTCCCTTTACTCTCGCTAAGGGTCGCGTCAGGTTGTTTGAACTTCCCACAATGTTTCGTTTGTCAATGGTGCATCCTCTAAAATGCCGTTTAAACTCGTCCACTTTAGATGCAGCATTCCCACGTTCCATTTTTTGGCCCCTTAGTGTGTGCCCTATGCAGAACCTTTTTCGACCTTATAACGGCAGGAATGATATAATAATGGGCCTCGAATTTATACTACGGGGAAATCTCAGAAACCATCTTCATCGTGAACTGTGCCTTCAAATTCTGGGAAAGAAGGAAAGGTTGGTTCGTCCACGAAAGCTCTCAAAGGAATGAGCTATGTACTTTGAATTCGAAATCCGCAGTGCGATCTCAGATCACATTCTAAACCCTGTAGCTTTATGTTCTATAGAGGTTTCGCTCACGATCATCTATAAAGATATAGGATTAACGAAATCTTGAGCCAAGATGCGACGAATGGAAAGACGCTCGGGATGAGATAGCTTACCACTACAGAAGCTCCGCTCAAGGACTCAGTAATACGGCGGACTAGGCGTCCAAAGATCGAGGATAAGAGAGCCAACCACTCCACACCTGTGGAACCAATGACTAAACATAGAATGCTTTGAAGGATGGAAGAGACCGAGGGAGAAACGCACATCCTCCACAATCTATCCATCAATGGCGGCCATTAATCCTTTTGATTATGGTATTTTCACCGATCACATTCATGGTACGATGCGTTTTTCAACGACCGGCGAAGGACACGTCCTGCAGTCTGAGTTTCGCAGCCATTACTTTCAACGGCTACGCCCTGATTTTTTGTACTTTAGTTGGGTAAAGGAACATCAAAATGAAAGTTCAATGAGATAAATCACGGAGGTAGCAGTTAAGACAGGTCGTCGGAGCTTGATTTCAAAAAAGAAATTCAAGAAAGCAGTGGTTTCCGTGCGTCACAGAATTGCATCCCAAGAATCCCAGGAGTAGCTATTTCTAATGTTCAAATATTCGATTAATACTGGTAATCGGTAAGTAGTCTTGGAATGTAAGAGCGTTCTGTACTTTTCAGACCTGTTAGAAAGCTGCATATGAACTCTATGAAGTTTAATTACCCATGGAGTATAACTAGATGATCCTGCGCCAGCTCAACTGACATAATCCGGCTAACAAAACAAGTAGCTCTGTAATGTCTCAAGAAAAATTGAACAGCTTTCAGTACCCATAGTCTAGAAAAATTAAACGAAGTGGATAGGAGAAGAAACGAACCAACTTTTACTCAGCGGCAAAGAATGGAAACGATACTTGTAGATGGGGACAAAAGATTAACATTTCGATTAATTTATAGGCGTGTTGACTAATATCAATAAGTTTGAAAACTGAAACGGAAAGAAAAGGTGGACTACGATTTATGACCGCTACCTACCTTGAAATCAGAGTGTCAAGTGCCGCTTTTGCCGTTTGCATACGGTTCACCAACGTATCCGACAACCTCCAAACAAAGATACAGCCATTACTGGCTGTCACGTACAGTCTCCTAAAAAGAAAGAACATTTTGATCGTTATCTATTGATTTCTGCACTTTATAACAAAGGTCTTGTTAAAAAAAGAGCTCTATACAGAACAGCTTCCTTCATCTGACCCAAAACTGATCTAGCTATCGATGATCAATGATCAATCCACAGGGAATCGATCAAATTCTTTTTCCTAAAAGTAGGGCAGTGTTAAAGGGCGGAGGTGGTGTAGGGGCAAGTTGCACACTATCTTACACCTTGGTCACGGGTTCGAATCTCGGATCCACCTGAAGCTAACCAAGCCTTCCATCGTTTAATTGGTACAAGACTTGACTGGGAGGACAAAACACCAACTTGCACATCTGCAGGCCACCTCAAGTCAGTATCAGTCACATACATACTCAATACGCCACTACGAATCTGAATAGAAGTCGAATGCGGGGGCGCATCCTTTAGAAGGGATTGACTATTGCTCAAAGGCTTTATTCTCTAACCTCAACCGTCATATCCATTTAAAACTGTACAGCAACCTCAAACAGGTCGACGCTCTCGACACTCTTCACGACTGCTCTTTCATCTCACCACCTTTTAGCCTTATTTATCGTCTGTCGAAGTGGCTTGGTAACCTTTTCCCCATTCTACCTTACTCTCACAGAGCTTCAGACAAGCTACCTTTTTTCATCTCCATATCATATCTCATAGCAACAGTTCATTTAATGTCATTTGCATTCTACTGCTGAGTCATTTACCTGCAATCTTCGGAGAACTCAACGTCGGTAGCCGATTCACCGATGCCTGTCACCGCCGCAACGCACTTTCCAGTACGAACTTCAACCACATAGACATGGCGATCTGAACAGACGCTAGCCGCGTAGGTGCACGACGGGTCGAGGCAGAACTGGAATCGAACTTTACTATTTCACCTCATCTATCTTTCAATATTTTTTACTACCATTTCGGAAGATAGATACACCCTTCATTGGTAGGTTTGGTTTTTCATTTTCGATTTCAAAGTCCAAAAGGAACTGATTCACCAATGGAGGAAGAGATTGAGAAAAAGACTTAATCGTAGATTGAACCACTATTTTTTCAATCCATATGCAAAGCTAACATTGGAATCGCAATGTTCCTTACCTTTCCCAGAGACCCTTGCTGTAAATCAGCTTCACCGCCAGTGCCTTTGACGGTAGTCAGCAGCTTCCCAGAAAACGAATAAGAACGGAGTTGGCGATCTTGACACGATGCCAATATTGTTCCACCGCTCGCTGGGACCAGCAAGTCACATATTCCTATTTGGGCAGAGATCAAATTTTCACGAACGAACTGTATGGTGTCCTAAAAGAGGTACGTCGTAATAATATCCTTCATTATTCTACATAAAAATCATACCTGAGTGAAAACTACTAATCGCCATATGATGATCGTTCTGTCTGAACCGCATGTGAAAAGGTAGAGGTCGCTGTTGTGATTCTGAAAACATCAAAGCAACTGTAAATGAATTATTCCACACTGAACTTTTCTTGAATGCTATTTTTTACTTTATTTTTCTGAGTGTTGGGTTATTCTCAACTTCTTTTATGGAACTTTAGTTCCACTATTTTAGGCGAAATTCCTTATACATTTTGTGTAATTACGACTTGGATCGTAATTATACAGAATGTATTATATAAGGCGGAGGTGGTGTAGTAGCAGGTGGCACACTATCACAAGCGCATGGTCACAGGTTCGATTCCCGAATCGATATTTGCCTAGGCTAGCCAAGCCTTCCATCCCTCCGGGGGTCTATTGATTGATACCAGATTCGTCTCGGAGGATAGAAGCACTAAGTTGTACATGGGCTGGCCACCGCAAGTCTGTGCAGGCCACATACGCAATTAATAGGTCACTACGAATCTAATGGGAAGTCGAATGCATGAGCGCATCCCTTATACGGTATTCATCAACACTCTATGAATTTATCCTTTAGGCTTTACGGCTTGGATCGGTACGCTGGCGAGAAAGAACTGTTTCATGAAACATCAAGGAAGAAAAAGGTGGGGATAGAGACCAGAATAACCTACTTGTGAAGGGAACTTTGGTCCTAGTAATTTCCTGCATATCAGATTCTCGACGTATTCTCTTTATATTCATAGGGTAATGTTCAGCCATTCACAGAGTAAATTCGTAGACTGTTCTTATCCGATGTCTCGACTAGGCCTAGGAGAGCGTNCTATGAATTTATCCTTTAGGCTTTACGGCTTGGATCGGTACGCTGGCGAGAAAGAACTGTTTCATGAAACATCAAGGAAGAAAAAGGTGGGGATGGAGACCAGAATAGCCACCTTGTGAAGGGAACTTTGGTCCCAGTAATTTCCTGCATATCAGATTCTCGACGTATTCTCTTTATATTCATAGGTAATGTTCAGCCATTCACAGAGTAAATTCGTAGACTGTTCTTATCCGATGTCTCGACTAGGCCTAGGAGAGCGTAGCGTACAATTCATAGCTTCAGCGGTGCTGCTACCGTGTAATGCTTTAGTGCGCCGCTACCGAGACAGCAATGGATCAAGCACAGGTTTTCTCCTAAAAAGGCTGCTTTTATAGTCCACGACTCGGTCCGCGAATGCACGAGCGAGCGACTACTCGTCCGGCGGTATCGGCCAAGATTAAGTTGTAAACAAGGGACAAGCGCCGCCCCCGGCCGCTCGCTCGCGGGCCGAATCGTGGGACTATGAAAGCAGCCGGTTACCTCTGAACGAGCAACCCTTGTTATACAAAAATGTCTACCAGTAGTTAATGGGTGATCAAAATTGGGATGGTAGGCCAAGGGCTGAAAGTATCCCTCAAGAGTAGGCGGGTTAAAATCTTTGGTACTAAGTCAACAAATCCGTAATACGACTGCAACATAGTGGCCCAGTCAGGGATGACTACATGAGTGAGGAAAGTAGCAGACGTCAATAGAAGCATTTGACAGGGAACAGTCAAAAGTTAATTACATCAGTAGTAGACTGCATGAGACGGCTCGGCGAAGGGAAAATAATGACAGAAGTTGATAGAAGCTTTTGGGACCCTATGAGGGGCAGGATATGCACCGAGGTTAGCGAAGTTCAGGGTAGATATAGATAAGTGACTGTCATTAGCGCGAAACAGCTCGACTTGAAAATGGTGGATCAACCTTTGGTTTTGTATTTCGATCAACATCGATAACTATGAGCAATTTTGTATGAAAAGCCGGTAGTTAATATGGGTTACATCAATAAAAAGCACAGCCTCAAAGTTGAATCTATTGGGCCAAAATCTGAAATGGCCTAGGACCACTGGTTTTTGTAATTCGGGCGGTAGTGGGTGACAACTAAATTTTTGAAAAAATCAAGGAACTCCAAAGTCTCCAGCTGAGAAACACAGTGTAGAGGTATCAAACTGAAGTGGATGAGTTGATAAATTTCTCAATCTTCTACATACCTGTGCAAAACAAACTGCATTCAAGGCGCTCTGATGATCATCAATCACATAACATTGCTCGTAATTTGACTCTAATGGTCGAAACAGGTGAACCAAACGATCTCGACCACCGGACGCAAACAAATATGGAGCTCCTAAAAAGACAATAAGATTAGCCCAAAACAGAGTTCGACAGTTGAGCGGTCCTTTCCAGAACATGCTACTTTCCCATTTTCAAAAAAAAATTGTGCGAACCTCGTGAGTTGTCCGAATATTCTACACACTGCACGTCGAGCTCATGTGCAGGAATCACTTCCACCACATTCATTTCAGGATCACTCAGATCAATTATGCTGAACAAAGGGTAGAAATTAATTTGATGTAAGACAGAATACATATGGTGGAACATTCCGGAGCTAGTTAACCCTGATAACTAAAGTCTTTAGTCTTTGAACATTAGTGATCCCCTCTCAGAATACTCCAGGCAACTCATTCAGTTCAGAGTCGAGGTGGCGTTTTGAAGCCTTATGTGGCCCATACATTGAGTTGCGATGACCAGCCGATGTGCAAACCAGCGCCTTTTATCCCCACGAGTCTGGTTACAGTTAACTGGCCCCGAAGAGATGGAAGGCTTGGTTGGCATATGCGAGTATCGGTTTAAGATTCGATCCCTTACTATGTGCATGGCTGCGTGCGCTTCTTTCCAGTACACCACCTCCGCCCTGATCCTACCTACTCAAATCACTGCTGTCGCTATATGAGTAACTTGACGAGATTTGGCCTCAGCTTTCCAGCTACCAAAGATGTAGAATATGATTCTCACATACAGTGATTATGACGATGCCACTTAAAGACACTGCTCGATAAAGTTCCAACTTATAATGCACAAGAATCCTCAATATGGATGAACAGTTTTGTATTTTTAGAGGCGATTCTGCTGATAGGTATTCCAAACAGACCTTTTGATTGAAAAAAACTCACTGGAGGTTTCCGCTTTTTGTTCCTGCTACGAGATGTTTCCCGTCTGGAGACACAGTCAAACAACGAATTCCAGTTGTAGTTTCCACTCTTTCACTTGGCACAAGGCCAACATCTAAAATTTCATTTTTCATTTAATTTTTTTAATCACCACTCAAATTACGTTTCGAGAACAGAGAGTCCTAAAAGCATTCGGATATGTTCCATTCTTCGGATACAATTATAATTTAAACTGACCTCCTCGAGGCTCCACGAGTGAAGTGATGTCGTCTTCAACGTGTATGATCTTCTTCAGCGTTGGAGACAATAGATTGGTACTCGGCATGGAACAAGTCTAGAAACACACTAGATCCTCCAATAGTTAACACTGAAGTACAATTGGAAATCGATAGTAATGCAACAGTGGATATTTATTAATCTAATAATTTGAATCAATCAAAACAAAATATCATTATTACGCCAAATATTATATTATTAAAATAAATAATTTAATAAATTGAATCAATAAAATCTGAATATTATTATTACCCCAATTACTATATTATAAAATTATACTGAATATTGATATTATTTGGAATGTGAGACTTCAAAAAGGTAGTGAGACCGGGGGATTGGACGAGGGTAAGTGTCTGTTATTGTCTAGGTGTCTCCCATATGAGCGCACTATTCCTCGGCGTCCCTACACTTCACTGTGACTGGTGCAGCTTTAACAGGGTCTTCATAAAAAGAAGATACTCCTGGTGTGTACGTCGACCAAGCCTGCTTTGGAACCCTTATGAGGCTCTGTCGGTATTATTTTTCGAGCCGTGTCCCTTGGAGCTAAGGACCCGTAAGTTCATCTGAAAGAGTAGCCTCAACAATCATTCCTGTCGTGAACTGTCTCTTGGAAACTAATAAAGTAGATAAGTACAGAAGATTTAATTATGACAAAAACGAATGAAACTAATTGAAAAAAGAAAAACTGAAACGACTGGAGTGAGTCAATATACAAAGAAAAGCGGACGAGGAGATAGTGACAACCGAGAAATTTGATAAATTAATTATAGAGAAGATAAACGACTACGCTAGGAAGGTATAGGAACAAGAGCAATGTACCACATACGAGTTTCAAAAAAGTAATAGCCACGACAAAAAAGCACCTTATCCTTTTTCCTCTCCATACTCCATATCCGTACCGTACCATCTACGCCAGCAGTTATAAACGATCCACTTGGCAGGTAAGGGAACTGTGACGGATAGCGCTGAAACAACGAACATTATGTATCGGAAATCTTTTAAAGCACTGTTATGAAGTATAAGTAGACTAGCAGGGAAAAACGCTTTTTCAACAACCCAAAAGTGAAGTCTATAGGGGAGACAGTATCATTTTAGTCATTATTTAGAGGTGCTGAACGAGTAAATCGAACAACAGAATCACTGTAGCACGAATTCCCCTAACAAAATCACATGAATAGGACGACAGAAATTTTTTCTGAGAATGCCACACCCCTTGGTGTGTGTAGGGAACATCGCCTACCATCCCCCACGAACATACTCTACGCCTATGCTCCAAGAAGTACAGTAGTGGAGCCAATAAGCATGGTCCCATGCTCGCCCGACCCCTCAAGGTACATCTGTCGCTCGCCTCAATTCCCCATATAATTCCCCTGACTAATTACAGTATGACTTGCGAGAAGTTCATGCAACTTTCTTACACTTCCAGCTTGACTCGAAGTATCTTCGGCAATACTGAACGCTCCCGAGATGCAGGAAGAACCGATCAAATGGAAAACAACTTTGTTCTGGTTAATCCACAAGTTCCCACTAGAAAACAGCTCACCTTGACAAGGGTTACCGCTCCAACATGTGCCAGAGAGCTCGATAACTTTTTCCACTGATCTGGGGCATCGCCTCGTTCAAAGACAAACATTGAACGATCCGAGTAGGCGGCAATAAACGATTCAGGAGCAGATGATGTTGCACATAACGCTCGGACGTCAGGATAACTGGAAAAAGGAGTATCAATCTTTTATATTCCTCGAGGAACGGTAACAATTGATTTCTTCAGAATAGTAGCGGCTGAACCGGTTCTCCTTCACTTTCGGAACATTACTCCTGGTTTTGAGGTAAAGTCGCGGTCAAATTTTGGAAACTTTTTATTTTTCGATATAGCGCGGGCACTGAATTACGTAACTGGCTCAATTTTGNCTCAAGGTACATCTGTCGCTCGCCTCAATTCCCCATATGATTCCCCTGACTGTGTACAGTATGACTTGCGCGAAGTTCATGCAACTTTCTTAGACTTCCAGCTTGACTCGAAGTATCTTCGGCAATACTGA